AAACAAATATGTGGTGCGTACAGCGATGTGTGAGTACAGTGATGATGGATTGTAAATAACTGTACCCTAATTACATGGATGGTTGCTCATGCTACCAAGCACTGGTTTCTCTAGTCAAAGAGTTGATCAATTGCAGACCAACGTATCTGTGATATGACTGACTTCAGTACAACTCAACCAGGATGTTAATTTGTTGTCAAACTAGATCATAAATCCACAGTTGGCCCTGTTAGCCAAGTTTGTTTGACTAACCTGATTCATCACTGGTAAGGCTGCATTTTACCCAAGCCGAGCCAATCTTTAAGTACGTTCAAATGTTTATGTTTTGAATCAACGAGTAAACACAAATCCATTCAATAATAAATGCTACAAGTATTAGCAGCCTCAGGAAAAGAAATCCCCTTATTATAAGTTATAAGTGTTTATCATTAATAAATATTCTTTCAAGATGTTGAAACACTGAGTGATTATGGTTTTACGACAGTCTGCAATATCATCTGCATATCACTGCTGACAAAAGATACATTTTTGTTTGTTTTTTGTTGTTTTATTCAGCTTTATTCCAGCTATGTGACAGCAACCTGCAAATAATCAAGTTTGAACCAGACAATCCAGTGATTGATATAATGAGCAACAATCCACATAGTTGGGGTACGATGACACACAAACAACCAAGTGACCAAGCCTAATCACCCATTCCACTTGTTCCAGCATAGGTTACTGGGGACATATTCTAATCCGGAATCCTCACAGGGTATATTAATAAGTAAATCTGGAAAATCAAACCAGTGCTTGATAGCAGGAACAACCATCCATAAGGCCATGGGAAAGTCAGGTCAAACAATGTGACCACTCCATCTTCATTAGACAGCTTTTAACAAAGGGTATCTACTCTGGTCCCGATTCCATATACCTCAGTGAAGGTGACCAAGCCCCATCCACTAAACCACATACCGTATTCGACGTAATAAGCGCCCCGCTCTAATAAGCGCCCACGGCGACATTTGCTAATGTATTGGCTAGTGAACAAGCCCAATTAGCACCCCTTCCGATTGATCAATGTACACAAGACTTATAATACGCACTCGTGTGTTATATGCACCCTTAATTATGGGCAATTAAATTCTGGAAAAATATATCTGTCGTACATAAACACTTCAGGCTGTCAGCATAAACCACGAAATTTATCTTTCAACTGTTTTTTTTTCACCAAAATAATATTCTTATAAGAGCCACCTATTTCTAATTTCGAGAGCGCCCTGGGCGCTTATTACGTCGAATACGGTAAGCTCAGACACCTCGAGGAAAATAGGAGACAAATTCGAAATTAAACCATATCTGAAAGTAACCACTGCATTAGAACACCACAAAGTAGTGACAAAGCTAAGTCTCAGTGCTCCATGACCTTCAAATTGAGAGAGGAAGATACTTTAACACTCCAACAGAAGAAAGATTTTCACAATTGCGTGGATCGATGTTCATGATGTCAATCACTGGACTGTCTGGTCCAGACTCGATTATTTACAGACCGCCGTCATATAGCTGGAGTGCAGCGTAAAACACAACAAACAAACATACCAATGATGCGCTTAGCCCGGAGTGAGTGAGTGAGTGAGTGAGTGAGTGAGTGAGTGAGTGAGTGAGTGAGTGAGTGAGTGAGTGAGTGAGTGTGAGTGAGTGAGTGAGTGAGTGAGTGAGTGAGTATGGCTTATTGCTACTTTTCTTTACCAATATTTCAGCAATAACATGACGGGGGACACCAGTAATAGGCTTCACACATTGTACCCACATGGTGAATGGAACCTGGGCTTTTGGTGTGATGAGCTAATGCTTTATTACCTAGGCTACCCCTCCACCCCTCAAAGGAAATGGGAAGTCACAAGTACCTATTAACACCATGTGCAACAACATGTACACAACATTTCACAAAAATATATTTCCTTGAAATGCTACAATGTAGACAGCTGATTGACCTTTCACTCCTTAAACCAAGAAGAATAGGAAATTGTCCCTTGTGAAGACCTGTAATGACATCTCACTAGGCCACATCTGACCTTGTTAACTCCATGCACATACTGTCAGAGGCTCTCTGTCCCTACTTCCCCATGAGTGTAAGGTCACAGCAATTACACCAGTCACATTATTTACATAGCTGAGAAATTGACTGCTAATACACTGACTAATCATGGCTGGACACATGCAGAGCTAAGTGTGTCACTGCTGGCTGTATACTCAGTCTCTCACAGAGGAAACTGTGACTTTATGTAGGAAGTTGCTCATACTAAACGTGTAGTCAGACATTTGTCAGGTTTGTCAGTAGACACACAGTCACTGATCAAGTTTTTATACACGATCATAGTGAAATGCAGATGCCTGTTGCCTTTGTTCCATAAGGTATTGCGACCAAAGTCTATCTGTAATTTCAGACATGCCTTATCATACTAATCATGGTCATATTTTTTGGTAAAGAGCACTTCCTTAGCAGCATATTCAAGCGATAAATGTTATAAATGGAATCAATGGTATTATATTGAAATAACCTGAGTCTCCCCTGATACAATAAACGACCAAGCAATTAAGCCAGATTTTCTTTATTCACATAAAAAATTAAACCAATGAAACTTGGTTTAACTTTCTTATATATATAGCAATGTGCAAGAGTATGAACACATAGTAAAGTGAATATAAAGAGGGGAGCAAGTGTACTTGGACATTAAATGTAGTGCCTACCAAATACTTGCTAAATTATTCAATTTTACATTTGAAACATTGGTCATGAATCCCCAAATAATGTGAAAAACAAAGTGGGGGTGCACAGACCTTTATTGACATGGCCGTAAGGACAAATTACTGGTAGATTTCTTTTTTTCACATTGATACTTGGACAAGTGCCCTCAAATGTGTTCATGCTTGATTCTAATACTCCCCATTCTAACATAAATAACAACCTGTGAAGATCCAGGGTAGAAGAGGTCTTCAGCAAACCATGCTTGCCGTAAAAGGCGACTATGCTTGTCATAAAAGGCGACTTTTGGGTTCGGGTGGTCAGGCTCACTGACTTGGTTGATGCATGTCATTATATCACAATTGTGTAGATCCATGCTCATGATGACAATTACTGGATTGTCTGGTCCAGACTTGATTAGCAACAGAACACTGTCATATAGCTGGAATATTGCTGAGAGCAGTGTTAAACAACAAACAAACACATAAATGACGAAAAGATTCATGCAACCATTGCAAGATTATAGATTTCATTAATACAAATTTTCAAAATAATAATCTATTGATATATAAATTAATGTCTTTACTTCTCCTTACATAAACATATTTTTGTATCTAGCGTTTTAGAACACAAAGTTTAACTCACATGCCATAAATCTTTATGACCAATAAATGCCTACTGCAAATAAGTTTATCATATTTCAATTGAATTATCAAGTCATTATCACCTAGCTAAGATATATTCCTTGATAGGCGGTATCAACAGATACTTAACGGCCACCTGCTGTAATATACAAGCCTCCCAGTGATGATACATGGCCTGGGCTGGAAGTCAAGCTATGAGTGTACACTGAAACATGATAGGCCTAACACTTGGGTGTTACGACGCCTATCATGTTCTTGGTTGTAGTTCATATTCTCAACTGGTGGTGTGATCATATACAACAGTTTCATTTGAACATTGTCACATGAACAGGATACACATGCATATAGAATCTCATCCCAGTGTCTTACGAAATCAAATATGTATATCAAGATGAGTCGATAAAAGTTACAAATATCCAAAGTTTGTTGAGGATATTTTTCCTTTTATCAAGGAGTCAACAGATTTTCTGAAAACTATATGTTACTCTATCAAGTGGTGCTTCAGCATGTCATGTTTAAAATGAAATATGACTCGTTTCTTTCAACACTCGAAAATAAGAATTTAGGTCAGATAGATTCAACACAGCCTCTGAGGTTGCAAGTGCTTCATATTCTCCTTGTAATTAAGCTGTAATGCTTGTCATATATTTCCAAACAACCTTTTCATGACAATATGGAAAAAATAAGTAATCCATTTGAGTATGTGCCAATATTCCATAGCTTGTTAAGTCAGTATTTTGCTGTTGGACAACTGTCATTGTCCAAGTTAAGAAATTTGTCTCTGCCTATTATTAGCAGTCCTGGCAAGTTTGATTCCACTTTTCAAGTCATACAAACACTGCCTTGATTCTCTACTCTCACATTAAATGATGTATATCAATCACTTAGTCACCAAGGTTAATGATTGCACTACCAGTGATTAATACTAGTTATGTTACAACAATGTCTCAATTACCATGATTACGGACAAAATGCTAATCACAATGTCTAGACCTCAACTGAAAATGGGCAGCAGACCATGGCACAAAAGAGTTCACAACTGATATCATTTAGGATGCTGTTTGACAACTTGTGTTGAGATAGTTTCATTGAATCGACAAGAAAATATTTAACATTACACTTATCACGTTTATTTACAAACGTCTCATTACTGATATCTAATTTCCTGTGATGGCTCCTCGGAAGAAAAATATTTTTACTCTGTTGACAGTGAATGGGGAGGACATCAGAAAATGGTTTTACTCTAATAAGACTAAGTGTCAAGCACTGAACGACAATTAAATGTTAAATGACATTAAAAAAGGAGTCACACATATGAGTCATTCAGTTATAGGCCTCTTGAAAACAAAATAATGTAAATGAGCATCTAAACAATGGGATGCATCAGTGTCCTTCTAGATCATATTCCCTAAGGGAGATAACTCATGTGTCTCTTCGCAGTGCAAAATATGAAGATGAATCTGAAACGCCACAGGTCCGAAAACAAAACATAAAATCAAAACCGTTTGATACAGCCGTACAAATTTTATGACATCGTGCAAATAATCTGCAAAAATGAACCTCACATAAAAGATTCATAAAATTTGGATATCCGTGCCCGGGTTCAGATGTGACACCATCAATAGGCTTACCTCTTCCAGTGTTGAAACCGTATGTCGACAGTGACCCATTTTCGACGTGAAGGTGGATGTCGTGGGTGACTTGTAATCCTCCCATGACTCCTTCACGAAGTCACCGACGTTTATTTGCATTGTCGTATATTAAAATCCAGTCTTAAGTCATCATCGGGATCTACATCGCCTTTCTACCAGTTGACTGAGATATCAACCACAGGAAGTTCGCTCAGCGATAGCTCGCGGTGTGACACATACTGTTTCCCTGACAGCTAGTAAACGCTTAATGTTCTGCACCGGACTTCGGTAGGAACTGAAATAATATATAAATAAGGAATTCTAAAGATGCTTATTACAACTACACTTTAATTTTCTTATCAAAGCGCGTGTGTTGGGGATGGTGATAGCTCAATGTGAACCGATTATCGTCCTTCTGATGAATCCCTTCGTATGTTAAAAAGGTAATCGAATCTCTGGCCTTTATTTCTTATATTCATAATGAAGCTCTATATTTTTGTTACATCATATTATCAATCATTCGAATATAACATGGCACCTTGGCGTTGAAATTTATATGTTAGATCAATGTCATGTCTTTGTTGTTTGAAAACGTCATTGAACAATGACGTCAACTATAGCACCTCGTGTCTGGGTATTTAGTAGTACCTTCACCTTTCTCCGTCGTGTCTGTCAAGACATCAGTCTTAACCATGTCGTTACATTATGGTAACTATATATCATTTTAATTAACTATTCTAGATACTGCGGTGAAATTGCGAAATAAAACTCAGTTCCGGGATCAAAAGTTTGTCGAAGGAGCAGACTAAAATGAGGATCGAGTGATGAGGACAGAGTCTCTGCGACTTCGCTGTTGACTTGGATCGTTACCATCACTCCATTATCACAGTCCGCCGTGAAATAGAAATATTTTTACAATGCCATATGTGGAACAGCAATCACCCAAGTCACCAGCCGATACATTTCATCGCCCAATCATCTCAGGAACAATATCATCATTATCCATATAGGAATCTATCTATCTGATTGGATCGTTGTCGTATTGTGGAAACCCTTGCATATCAGCTGACCGGCCTGTATGGATATCTGACGCCATAATGTTAGATGTGACGTCACTTGCTTTTGCCGAAAAATGCACATTTATTGATTTTCAAAGATATGATGTCTAGGATACGCATCAGCAGTTGTATATTACGCGATTTTTCTTTTAATTTTATAAAGTTATAAATCAAATCATAATTTAAAAAATAAAACCACGAAGATGTACTCTTTGAGAGCTGACGAAGCGCCTATGCAGTTCAGTTTTCGATATAATATCGATACCTTAGGGTATTTCCAATTGAAAATCAATCACTTGATACAACTAAGTGAGAGGTGTAGTTTCTTTTTCGCCTCGGTTTATTTTTCAATGTGGGAAAGAAATTTTTGACATTTCCAAAAGTGAAATTCGACCTTCGTTACTTAAAATTCCACAAACATTTCCTAGGTGTAAGTATTTATTTTGATGCATGTCTATACCTAAATGTTGGCGCAATACATAACACACCTATTTTACTGCCAAAGTTGGCCCCGTAACTGAATTATATATATTTTGTAAATTTTGTTTCGTTGTTCCCTCCACCCATGTCTACTTCCGTCTCTGTTTGCTGCTCGTCAGTAAGAAAGCCTGGCCTAGACAAGACTGAGGACATGTCTCGTGCGACTTCACGGCCACTTTACTTGTAATTCAGTGTTAATCTGTTTACAATATCGCCATACTTATTGTCAGCTCCCATCAAGATGTTCAGAAACACATTTGCATGCGAACCGAATATGAGAAACCGCTGAAAACGTTAATTTGCAGACAAAAAGTTTCTTGCAGAAGGAGTTTCCATGGTAACCTGGTCGAAGAATACGGAATATGTCTGTAATTCAAAAGCCATAAGCGTGGCTAGAATAATAAGTATTTTGTAATTAGTATCCTGCGTCACAGGGACAAAGATTATCCTCTAGGCGGATACACGTCATAAGATAAGAGATAACTGACATAAACAAGGGTTATTAATTATTTGAATCAAACTCGCTATAAGGCTACCGTATGGTCGGAGCCTTTTTAGTCATACTTTAAGATACATATTCGTTAAAGGGACACGAGTATCATGATCTGGTGCCTATTTTCGGGCCGTGTCTAGACGTTGTAATTAGTTCCTTGTGTATGTTGTTTGTTTGTTTGTTTGTCTGTTGTTTAATATTCAGAATTATTCCAGCTTTATGACCATCTTTGTAAATAATCGCGCCTAGGCCAGCCAATCCAGTGACTGATATTATGATCAGAACATCGATCTACGTAATTGGGATACAATGACAGGCATCAGCCAAGATAGCAAGCCCGACTATCCGATAGTCGCCTGGTACGAAAAGCTTGGGTTGCTGAAGACCAATTCTTACCCAAATCTCTATACGGAGGTAGCGGCGTGTGTCACACTGAGACACCATATGTATGTCGTTAGGATAACTGTCAACTGCTAGATTGATTTACATAGTAACCTTTGAGTTTGCAGACAAACAAGTTGGACTTTGAATGGCTTGATTCAACTTTGCCATGTCGTCCCGAGCCTCGTGTCCCTTTAACATTTGAAATATCCGATGTATCACGACGGGGCGTTTTGTTAATGAGAAGAGCGCATGTGCGTGTGAGTATAACATTGTGCTTCAGAAGCGGAGAACACATGACACCTGCTTTACAATCCGACATGAAATCAGTTGCACCCGAACATCTTATCGGGAGGTGTCGCAATTCGTTGTGAAGAGTTTGTGTCCCCCATTCGTGCCAGAATCCTATGATCGTGAGTTCGATTCGCCCTGAATATGATTCTTGGTGTGTCAGCACCATACTCGTCATCGTGGGTATCAACATGTTAAACGTCTTGTACCTGCATCACATATGGGTCCCCTACCTACGCCTCCAACCACACTCACATTAAGCTGATACGCCATGATATAACTGGAATACTAAAAACACAATTCACTTACTATATACCATGGCCAGAAACGACACATACTCAATAGTGCTAAATACAATTATCGATACCTACTATTAGGTACACGGAAAACATGCGGTCACATTCTTACACAACTGAGGAAGTCCATGTGATATATTATTTATTTGTGTTTTGGTTGTTTTCCGTGACACAACTCTAGTACTAATTATTCCGTTATGACACCACCACCTCACTGTTCAACGTGAAAGTGCGAAATCGAATGTACCAGAAGCGCTCGTAAAATGAATAACGCCTGGAGTTCAGTCATTCAGCTGTTGGCGGGATACCAGTACCCATGACACGCCAATAAGATATATAGAACGCATATCACCAAATGACTTCAATGTCTTCACCCTATAACAATATGTCTATTTTTTTTGGTGACGTTTCAGTATTAAAGCGTCTGCATAGCATATGTACCATATAGCTCTGTGTGTTAACATATCTTCAACTTACAGACGTAATTGATTCTTCTTACTGACGCATTCTGTTTCACTTCTTGAAAACTACTCCGCTGACTATGACTGCAGTTCAGCAGAAGACCTGTTATGTTCTGCAGTTGTAGCAGCAGTCGTATGGCAAACAGTTTAATAAATTTGTCTCCCATTCTCAACAGATGTCAAACGACACGAGGGATATTTGAGCTGCCAATTTGATTCCTGCATACTCCCAGCCGTGTCAGTTATGTAAGACGTACCCTTTAAGCAAAATTAACAGCAATTGCATGAGGAAATTGTGCATATGTGCGTGATAATCAATAAGATTATTTTTGACAAACGAGGGAAGGTGGAGGCTATTTAATCTATTCATAAACATTTATTCAATCGTAACTTTGTTGAGGAAAATATTTAGACATGGAGAACAAGTATATAGATCTGTTGTGATAACCATTTTAGCTTGCTGTGTAGTTATTTGTTTTAATATTACAGATGAGCGTCAGGTTATAAAAATACATTATTGGGATTAATTGGATCACGCCTAAACGCAACATAAATGTATGTTTGTTTGTGGTTAGTAGAATAGGGCGTTACCCTACTATACGGAAGTGGTTCTGCGCATGCGCGAAGAATGCGTGCGCATACAAGATGGCGGTACTTCCGGTTCCAGGAGGATTGAACATCCAAGATGGCGACACTTCCGGTTCATCAACGATAGCAGGAGGGTTGGGTTCTTTTGGGGTTTGTTTTTGGTCAGAATGTTTTAAGTTTTCTTTTGGGAGAGTTGGGTGGACCTGAAACAAACTTGAAAACAAAGTGTAGCAGCATGCCATGAGCTAATCACTTTGCTCAGATATGTACATATCTTCTTCCTCCTCCTCCTTGGACTGATGACGTTGCCGGCACTTTGAAGGGGGCTTTCTTGAGGGGCTTCTGTCATGTTTTCTTTTGCCTAGGTGTGGTATGGCGTCTGCATGGAGATGTATGATGTCTTCTTGTAGGCCACGGACATTTGTATCAAGTATACCTAGGTATCGGTATAGTGAAATGGAGTCCCATTAGTATAACGAATGCATGCATTATTATCATTGGTAAACTTAAGGGTTCTTTAACTGTATGATTGACAGGACACTCATGGACACCCTTCCTTCCCCCCATGTCAGGTCAACACAGTCAGTCAAAATGGAGACAGGCCTATGGTGGGAACAAACCCCTCGGAAACCAACATATTCACCTAACCGTCCTGTGATTATGATCAGTGACGCCGATGATGATGAAGCACACAAGTTGGCAGCACTACCTCCCATGGATATGGACACACCCACCGTGCTTGACGTTGTGCCACTATCACCAGATGATGGCAGTGGTTCATGGCAACTCACTTCAATACAACTTAAATGTAGTGCCTGTCGTCATAACATGTTGACATACCTAAGCTGTCACAGTTGTCAAGTGATGTAACATGACTGTTTCAGGGAGGCCATAGACTGTACCTGTTTTACTGATGGGCCATTAACATGGTGATACATGTTAGGTTATGATGACCACATCTTAACTGTCTGAGAAGATTGAAGATTGAAGGTTTCACTTTCTTTGAGGGACATGTTAAGCACTCCCTCAGTTGTCAATTGATTCATATGTCCTATGTATATATGTTGATGGGTTTATTTATTAAACAGTGATTAATTGAACTGACTCTTTGTCTCTTGACTTATCTCAACTCCAACAGGGTGCCAAACCGAGGGTAGAGGCTGAGTTGAGATGTAAACACTATCTGTCATTTCTGTGCTCGTGCAAGTTGAACAAGTTTGAGAGTTCTTTCTTTGCAAAACACTTCTTTAATTTGACAAAAATTTAATTTTGCTGGTTTAAAAAAAAAAACACCCAAATTTTGTTGTTGTTGACTTTGGTCAACTAGGAAGAGCACAGAAATGTAAAAAAAGATAAAACAGATACTTGAAAGTATCCGTTGCCTTGTGTCAGTCACCAAGAACACATGATGTCAGGTGATGAAGAGGTCATGACCTCACCTTTAACCCTACGCCACCCTTTTATTATGTTAATTGCTGGGCCATCAGGGTCAGGAAAAGTTCCTTTGTGAAATCATATATTGAGTACATGCATCGCCCTGAGGTGTTGGATACGCCACCCCATCGCATTGTGTGGGTGTACAGTGAATGGCTCCATCATGAGTTGGAAAAGATGGCAGACCGCTATGGTGTCACTCTTGAGTTTGTGCATAGTATGAAAGAAGTTAATTGTAAATTGCCAGAAAAAGGGGTGGTCCCTCATTGGCTAGTCATTGATGATTTGCTGGGCGACAATACAAAAGAAGAAGAAACTCAAGTGTTGCGATGGTTCACCAAGAAAAGTCATCACCGAAACACATCCGTGTTGTATCTCACTCAGAACTTGTCCAATCACCATAACATCGCGCCATTAGTCTGAGTGAGTTTGGTTTTACCCCGCTTTTAGCAATATTCCAGCAATATCACGGCGGGGGACACCAGAAATTGGCTTCACAAATTGTACCCATGTCAGGATTCGAACCCTGGTCTTCGCTGTGACGAGCAAACATTTTAACCACTAGGCTACCCGACCGCCCCACTATTAGTCTGAATGCCCACTACATGGTCCTATTTAATAATCTGAGAGATACTTCACAAATTGACAGTCTGGCTCGCCAGGTGTTTCCAGGCAAAGTTCTTTTTCTGCGTGAAGCCTATGAAGACGCCAAGAACCTTACAATTACCTGTTCTTGGCCAACCAAGAAAATCAAGTACACAACAGCCTTTTTACATGCAGGAATAAGAATACAACCAACTGTTGCAACAAATGCTAGAATTGCAGCGTCAACAGCACAACAACAATACCAAACAACAACAACAACAACAACCCAAAGTGACACCACCATCAACTATGGACACCACAGGTATACCTGCCATACCAGACCTGGATTCAAACCCTTATCAACAAGTGATAGACGAGGTGCCCATGAGTGTTCCTAAAACCATGAAAAGTAAAGCCATGAATTTGATGACAAGGATTCAAAACAATCCCAACTTGAGTTGGACTCTAGAGGGAATACTGACAGTCAAAGGGAAACCTGTCCCTGGCACACACATGATGGAAAACCAAAGAGGGGCCTGCAGGATGGAACATTTTGAGTCATGAAATGATTGGAAACCCTCGACGATGGCAATGGATACAGAAGCTACAACAACAACAACACCCAACACCAAGAACACCAAACATCAGTTCTCCCCGCAAAGTCACAAAAAGTAGAAGGAGGCAGCGGCAGATGGATCCACAAGCGGAAGAAGAAGAAGAGTTGCCAAAACCATTGTTGATGACAACACCTCCCTCTGATACCAAACAGGACAGATTCAGCTGAAGTTCATAGATACCCTATTAGCACCACATAAGAAAAAAAATCTCTCCCTCTCTATAAGAGGCCATCCATGTACCGAGTGGCATCAGTCTGAGAGAAATGAAGTGACAGACCAAGACTCGACACATTCCCTCTGCTGCAGGGAAACAAAACAAGGGACTTCCTACTTCCCTTTGGACTGCATGGTTGGAAAAAACATACTTTAATCCTGAACATCCGGCAAGTTTTGGCGGCAGGTGACCTTTGTATCCACACTCAAGATGCAAGCACCAGTAAAAGCCAAAAGAAAACCATACCATCACAAAGTAAAATCAAGCATTGGTTGCAAACCCAAAGTACATACACCTTGCACGAACCAGCCAGACGATCCTTTCCAAGAGACCACTATCGTGTGGGAGGTGTCGATGAATTGTGGCAAGCAGACTTGAGTGACATGACCGCCTTTCAAGACGACAACAAAGGGTTAAAATATCTGCTGTGTGTGATTGATGTGTTTCAAAGATGGCATGGGTGCAACCACTGAAGGCCAAGAGCAGTTCTGCTTAAACTGAAGGTTTTCAAACCGTGCTGATGCAACAAGCCAGAGGTCAACTACCTGCTCAATTGCAAACGTCCTCCCAGTCAGAAATTCGGGTGTTAGACTACATGGAGGAACAACAACAACGGCAGCGCAAAAAGAAAATAACACGAAGACTGTCGTCCCACAAGACAAGATCCCCCCTCTCTTTTACTGCCAGGCACCCGTGTACGTCTGAACAAAACCTAAACCTTTGAGAAAGGGTATCTCCCCAACTGGAAGGTAGGAATCAGTGAAATTCACTTTCCAATGACATGGTACAAGGTCGCCCTACCCTTTGACTGGTTTGCTCTGAACCTCAAACTGAAAAAAACACACCCTTGTGTCAGACTCTATACCACACCCACAGTATGGTGTCGTAACTTATGAAAGCTGGACGATTCTTATCGAGAAAGGAGTATATTCATCAGAAGATTTGGTGAAAACCCTCAACCGTTTGATTCAGGAGCATATTACAGGTGTCTTGAAAGAACAGACCTCAGACAAAGTCCAAAGTGATGGCAAACGATTTGTCATTGTTGTCAACTATCCCCAAGTTAGTCTTCTATTTGACATGCTTATAGAAAGGTAGAAATCAATCATCCTATCATGGGGAAATACTGGTGGACCACTCTATTCCACAGAAGTGATCATTCCAAGTCCACGACCGCCCCTCAGTGATGATGAATATGAAAGCTACTAAGATACTCCTGTTCCCTGGAGTGTATTGTCCCAGTGGTAAGTGGGTTCTAAAACCATGGAAGGTGGATTTAAAGAAATCACAGGTCATACAAAAGCTTATTGCCTGTCAGGATTTGATTTGTACAGTGTACATTTACACCAACCTGGTCGAAGATCAGATTGTGGGCAATACGATGGCCCCATTGCTGATACATGTGCCTGTGTCAAAGAAGATGATGCAAGATAGTGTGGTGATTAAAAGTCCTCAGCACATTCGGTACCTTGGACTGTGTCTTTGACGGTATTAAACGCTTTGTCATGGACGACACAGGGCGCCCAGTGCCATTTCAAATGGGGAAAGCGATCGTGACACTTCACTTCAGACGCCGCGAACACAGAAACATGTTGGGACAACAACAACAGCAGGGGAATGGCATCAAAGTATAAAAAGGACAGTATCTTCAACGTGGCAGTGGTCTGGGTGGTATTTTTGATAGCTTTGCCTTTCCTTAAATCTGCTGGAAAATATGTGCTCAAGATGGGTATAAAGATCCTTCAAGGGATGGTGAGTGATGTGGTTGCAGGCAAACGTTAATAGACAGAGAGTCTGAAACATCGAGGAAAAGCTGCCCTGATGGATGCATTGGAAAGTGAGCCTAGACAACTCAAAACACATAAAGTCCCAACAACAGTCAACCAGAAACAGCGTAAAAGGAAAAGAAAAATGTTTTAAAGGTCAGGGAGGCTTATGGGGCAGGTCAGTATTCATCAGACTTTCAACCTGACCAGACGTCATTAAAGGCAGAGAAAGGGAACATCAATCATCATGATACGCCGAGATGCTTGCGAATGTTCAAAGGCCCAGTTGGATCTCTTTACTGTACCCCCTGTGACCACAACTGTGCAAGATGGTCAGTTAACATTTCCAATCCAGTGAACGCTTACATTGATTTGAGCCAGTGTTACCTGAAAGTATGCCTTCGAGTGACTCAGAAGATGGGACAGATACCACTCTACAGCATCACCCAGTATCAACAGTCAACAACTTGATGCATTCCCTATTTTGTGAAGTGTGACTGCAAGTGGGACACAATCAGTTGGAGATCACACCTTCCATGGGCACTTACCCTTACAGAGCCTACTTGGAAACCCTTCTGAGTTATGGTAAAGGGGCCAAAACATCTCACCTTCGATGTCCTGGATGGTATGCTGATGATGCTGGTAAAATAGATGTATTCAATCCTGATGCAGATGCTGCTACAAGAAACACTGGCGTCAGAACTCGGCGTGGTCTCATTGTACCCATCAAAGAAGTGGAACTGACAGGGCGTCTACACTGTGACCTGTTTCTCCAAGAACGATATCTGTTGAATGGTGTCCCTATGAAACTGGAATTGCTTCGAAGTCCCCATGAATTCTTCTTCATGTGTGCTGATGATGGTGCCTACAACATAGCCCTGACCAAAGCTGAATTTTATGTTCTTCAACTCAGCATTGATCCTGTCCGAGAAAAACATGTGTCCAGTCTGAACGTTGGGGTGACTGTGAAGTATCCCATTTCCTGTGTGCAAGTGACAGCCCATGACATCCCAAGAGGCGGTAGAGACTTTCACAAGGATCAGCTCATCGGTGGACAATCACCAAAACGAGTGGAACTGGGACTGGTAAACAATAATGCCTATGTAGGAAGCAAAGAGAAGAATCCATACAACTTCAAACATCACCATGTCACCATGATGAAGCTAAAACTCAATTGGACAGGAAGTACATGGCACAGAAATGAAAAGCGACTTCAGCAACAACAGTGCCGATTTGAAACAAATCTACATGAATCTGTTCCAAAACACTGGACAGCTGCGGTGGCCTGAAACCTGTGAGGTGACTCCCAAGGCCTTTTCTCAAGGTTACACCTTGTGGGTGGTGGATCTCAAACCAGACCTTGGTGCTGATGAAGGCATCAACTATCCTGGACACATTGGCAAGTTGGGATTGGAAATCCAGTTTGGACAAGCTCTTGACAACCTTGTCACCCTCATCTACTATGTGGAATATGAAAATGTTCT